TGTCCTCCAATATCCACGATCCATGACAGTTTCCTTATCCTATAAATAACATTCCAGTATTTTGCGTTATTAAAAAAACACAGAACTTTAATTCCAGTAGTCACAATATTGTATCTTGTTACATGTACACAATTGGTAATTCAGCCATACATAATATGATTTTTTTGCCTTAAAACATCACAAGTAAAAGCAGAAAATCTTCTGACATGTACTAGTATCCAGTCCGTTTCGCTGTTTGATTGATATGTATCAACTATGTCATATGGAAATCGCCTACCTCTGGGGCCCCACGGGGGTTTTTCTACCTCAGCTTTACACACCCGTCAAATAAACCTGTTTCATAACTCCCCTCGCGCTCCCAAAGCTTCTGTCTCTCCTATGAATAAGCTTATCGGGTATCACCAAAAGCTCAAGAAAAAAATATGTAAGTCTCATATAGATAAGTAGGTTCTCTTTTTTCCAAGGATAAAAGGACAGTGAGAGAGCGTACCCACAAAGTCGCGCCAAGGTCCCTTACTGTATAGACTGTCACTGTATACAGGCAGTCACTTAATATGCATTGCCTTCTTCATACGCGGAGAAACATCGCGCATTCATTAATTTGGCAATTGTATTAAATTTTGACATGGTACTATTTTAAACCTAAGAAGAACTGACCCACACCGTGCACTTAACTTGTATGTGTATTATGTCAGCTGTACATTTTCTGTGTACTGCAGTCATGGTCCACTGGGCTTGCCTATATAGTATTTCAGAAATTCCTTTCCGAGGACGGTGGAATTCAGGTCACTTTAGTATTACTTAATCTTTCTCCGTTTGGGGTGTGTTTGTAGGGTTTAAATGGTTTTCCAATACAAACATAATCATTCACAAAGAGGTTTTATAGCATACAATCGAATCTATTTAGTATATAGATAAAAAAAGGGAAAAACTTGACAGCGACTAAACCATAACGGACACGCAGAGAATTTCTCCTCCGGCCAAAAGCTGACCATCACGACGCCTCGGTCGTAAAACTCACGCGTGGATCTTGTTTTTATCTTTTCATCAGAAAAATCCGCGCCCACATGTCACAGAGAGAAAATGAAGACGGCACGACATGGGTTTATTACACTGATTAAGCCGAGGGAGACTAATAAAGAATCGGATGTAATCCTATGAAACAAGAGAAACTGTATAATTAAATGTATAGGGTCTCTCTAGCAATTAAAAAACGCTGCGCTAAGAATCCATTAAAATTAATAACAAAAGATATCGATGTTACCAGCCAAAGTAACTTGGTATTTCTAAAGAATAAGATCTCAAGGGATAATGAAAAAGAGGTAAATTAGATGCGATGAAATTAATAAAAACTGATTGCATATCTATACAGGACATCACTAAACATATTTCAAAAGATAAGTTGGTTACTGCAAACAATGTGAGAATTCAGAGTTTTCTAGATAAACGTCATTTTTAACCCCCCCCCCCCCCCAACGCCCCAGGGTAAAAATCCAAAACCCTATAATTATATCATTCATGTACAGAATACTCCCAGTCACAATCCAAATCATGAATGGGCTACTGTGAAAAATTCATGAAGAGTCCAGGGGACCAGAAAACGTTTTACCCCCATTTGGTCCCAGAGGTTAAAATGAAAATTTCAAAATCTATTTACAAATGTTCAATGGCCCACAAATCATATTCCAAAACTGAGTTGCTACTGCTTTTAAATGTAAAGGAAGCTTAAGGACGAAAAAAGTGTGACAGACGGACGGACAGACAAACACACAGACAGACAGACAGGGGAGGACAGAGATAACAATAATATACCCGCGGACTTTATTTACAAAATGCGGGCATAAAATGGAAAGATGTATAATACCGGTAGTTAAGCAGCTTGACTTGCATCTGATAGATGGCAGGTCTCTGTTTCTCTGTATACTGTTATATAATTTGACAAGATGACACTGAATCCTTTTACATAACTGTAATGTCTGTTTAATTAGCGATATAAGAGTCTTGTCATGAACTTAGTGAGATACTTTCGCAGTGGTATAAATAAAACATGAGGCGACTGACAGGCTCACAGTAACTAGAGGAGGGGGGGGGGGGGCTTGTCTGAGAAAAGTCCTTCTGATGTAGATTTACTATGTAAATGTAACTTTCAAACCATATCAGCATAGGGAAGTTAACGTTTTTTTTTCTTGTCTATCTTTTTTGCAAGATGGTTGGGTGGGTCGGAGTTGGCCCCCAACTTTGAAAAACTTTGAAAAAACATACGGGCCTGCATGGACCTAAACTCTCACCCGAGTCACTTTGGACTTCAGTGACTTGCATTAGATTTAATTTATATTCGTAATCTTAAGCAATGGCACTCTATAAAAGTAGTTGTAAACTAAATTTTAGTCCAAATTTTCACAATATGTTTCTCTTTATAAATGTTACTATCCGTACTGGTCCAATGATCCTAAAACCCCAAAAGCCATAATATGAAGAAGTCGAATTTATTTATTTTAAGGGTGGCGACTGGGGTTTCCATTGCGCAATATTTCGCGCATCATAGTAAAATGAAGCGTATTTATTGTTTAAAAGCAACTTTTTTCACTTAATAAATAAAACTAAACAAAATTAAGAAATTGAAGGCTGAAAAATTTAATTACAATTATTCATAACTGATTTTAAAAGCGATTTTTTAACTGATAGGTAGATTGACGCTGTTAAAGAAGGGGTAATAAAAAATGTTATAAAAGAAAAAGTAATAAATATATGCTCTTGAAATAAAAAAAAAACATCGAAATTTGATAATCTCTCCATCATATAATTTTTTGAATAAATCCTTTGTATGCGTCATATTTCTTTTAAGGTAGTCCGATCCTCTGGTTTATAAAATTAGCAGTTAAATAATCAAAAAATACTCATAAAGTATTTTTGAATCCACAAAGTTACGTAAATTTATCCACAGTATTTCTTTTTAGTTAAAGATTAAAGTTAATCATGAAAATTGTCAAATCTCCAATATTTTTGCAGAAAAAGTGAATTGGACTATCAGTAATGTATTTTCTAATTGGTATTTGGTATTTTTGTCTTCTGTTTCCGTCATGTATTCTGTAATACATAGTGTAAAAGGCTTTTGTTATCATTGCAAGACACCACAAATCACTTTTTATTTCATATCTTGCTAATAAGCATTGGTATATAAGGCTGGATTTAAGAAAATCTTATTTCTCTAAAACTGTATTATTTTTTTTTTCCTTCTGTGGGGTACAAGTGTCAACTTTTATAAGACCTTTGCTAAGACGTCCAAAAACCTTGAATCTTATATCTATAGATGAAAAAAATGAAAATTGTTGCATGAAAAATTTCATTTTCAAGCTTCATTTTGATGCATTTCAAATTAGATATTAATTTTTGGAGTTATCCTTCCTGGCTGAGGATATAGATTATTCTAGTCGGGATCGGAATCCATAAAATTGAAACTATTGCGTAAGGTAAATCCGCGAGAATCGCGAAAATGAATTCACCGGTGCCACCCTCCCCTTTTTGGATCAAGGCACGGATAACCTTTGCAGTCATTGGATTGTTAGTTGGTTTGTCCGTTCTATTTGTTTTTGGAGTCAATTTTCACAACTGGAACGTGGCCTTGTGGGGACTTTTGTCAGGTACGTGTCAATGTTCCAGATGTTGACCCGACATCTAGGACCTGTCAGGAAATTTCTTCACATTTTAAGATGTGGAGGGTGTGTAGGAGTCCGCATAGTGTATATACCACATAAATAATGAGATGTAGTTAAGCCACTTCTCCTGACATTAATATATATCCATTTTACAAATGTATCCCTGTACACATGTATGCCATGGTCACTCATATCCTATTGTCCTCCCTCCTTTCTCCCTTATGGTCACTGATTTAACTTTTTCATCTTTTGTCTCTACCACAGCAACTTTTCTTCCCAATTTGTCAATGTAAATTCATTTATCAGTGAATCTTTATAAGCCCTCTTCATCAAAACATTTGTCAGATGAGTAGGACTGGTGTTCGTGTAACTGCATCTTCACTAGCCAAGAGTTTTTGATCTTCTACTCTTCTCAAAAACCCTGGGGACTGTCAGAAGAGTAGTGGATCTGAAACCCTTGGTTGGCAAAGATGGTGTAACTGCAGTATATATTTTAAAGCATATTAATGGAGAAAGAATATTGTTTTGTTTATATTTCAGGAATAGCAGCAGGGTTGGCATTATTTATACACATAGCATACATAAAGCGATTCTGGGAGAACAATCCTTACCCCCTGAAGCGATGGATGCTGAGTGGTTGTTTTATACAGCTGGCAGGGGTGTGCGGATTTGTGACCTACCTTACTCTTGCCATCGTAAATAAACAGGGTAGGACAAATGTTCTCTAGCAAGACTTCTATTGTTAACATGATAAAATGTTTAATTTTTTACTGTTCAAGTATTAGTTGCTAAATTTAAAGATTTAACTAATTGTGGAGGAAATGTAAATACAGGTAAACATACAATAGTGCACAGAAAAATCAAAAATTATTGGAAGAAATATAAAGACACCAGTATCTCCCTTCTTCTATAGCATTTTTAGTGACCTAGTTTAATTTTACTGATTGTCGTGTACTAATTGACATTTCAGGTTTAATCATCGAGGGCCCGGGCTACTATCTGACCTGTGTTTGGTGCTTTATGACGTGGAAATGGGGATTCTATGTGTTCTACTTCTCACGGTCCTATAAACGTTTGTATCAACAAGTTTATACCATACTACCAAAGAATGATGATGATACAGACTACCGATACTATACTTAATGAACAGTCAACATATTGATTTGATTTTTATTTAATTCAATATGCACTTTTTTCATATTGTATAAACCATAAAATTTCTCTTTTAATTTGACTGAATGTAGGGTCTTAAATGTCTGTTCTAAGCACACAGCTTTAACTTTTTAAATTAAATCTTTGTTGGAAATTATATATACTTTGTTCTATCCTTGATGTTCATATGTTTATTTTTGAAAATTATCATCATTGCATATTCATGATAGGGAAAAACAAAAATATCTTTTGATAGTTCAGTATGTACATAATGGCCTAAGTAACAATTAGTATGGAAAGCATCATTCAGCAAAATTGACTTAGATAATGATTTAGGTTGTATTTGCTGACAAGATCACTATATCAACCATAAAAATTGCAAAATGATGACTTCAAATGAAACTGTACCATTAACTTGTTTGTCAATAGCTTGCTTTGGTTTAGGGTTGTATGTTGAGGATGCTTTTGAAGATCAATTCAATTGAAAATCCTACGTCATGAAGGTGATAATTAGGGCATATTAGTACATAAATGTTAATAAGAGAAGTTATCACATTTAAGTAATAAAGTTTTGTTGTTTACAGGTTACCAAGTCTTTTTAATGTGAAATATCTTATTATGAAATAAATGTGTCAGATTCTTTTATTCTCTTTTATCTTTAATATTTAAAGCTCACTGGGATAATATATTAATTATCTTTAATATTTAAAGCTCACTGGGATATATTAAGTTGACATAAGAGTGGAAGTAACTATTGTTAATCCATAAAACCTAAATGTTGAGTTGAAGCAGGGACCTATATACTATAGTATACTATAGTATATAGGTCCCTGGCTGAAGACCATGTAGCAAGATATTTGTTTTTCTCATGTTTAAGTTTTTAAATAAATTTTGCTTTATATGAATGCAAAATTTGTCTGTTTAAAATGGGGTGTGGGGTTTCAAATTTGTACTAGATTTTATGGGTCACCATTAATTTACATCCCCACAAAACATAATTTTGCTGACATGACGTGTCATAGAATATTTTTTTTGTATAATTATTTATGAAAAAATAAACTGTGAACACCCACAGACATTGACCACTGCAAATTTAAATGATTCCACATTTTATTAATTTATTAAGCTTTATATCTTTGATTAATTTTGCAGATTAATTCCAGTTAATTACTTTTTTGAGTTTGAAGTTATATTCACACAATATGCATCATCCTTCCTATAATATATGTACAACAGATTTTGTCATGTTTAATTATTACATTTACACAATAATTGTTTTATAAATTATAAAAATTATGATTAAAAAGTATAGTACATACTATATAATATATCAGTATACCTTCAGTACCACATCTTTTTTCCTCTTTTTAATGAAATATCCTAATATGAAACAGATGTGTCAGATTCTATTATTCTCTTTTATGTATAATACATCAGCAGGGGCCGATGCCCACTCCTCCATGGCATCAAAATTTATTTTTGAGGTCCATGTTGCTCTGCTCCTGTTTTGTATTGTTTTATGGACTTTTGATCTTGAATAATGTTCGTTATCTCCATGTTTCATAGAAAAAAAAATTGTGCTTCATATATATATGTTTCTATTGGTATATTTTCAAATTCAGTAAAACTTCTAATTCATGAATAATATTATTTTGATAAACAATTGTTAACAGTTTTTAAGCTATTCATCAATCTCTCAAAGTAATAAACCTGTCTTTGAGTAAATATTTTTAGCATAAAATGTCACAGGTTTAGGTGATGTGGATGTTATGTAAATAACTTGAACTTGGAGTATGCATACCAAATATGGATATCTCAAAAGTTGGATATATGTTGAAGTTTGAATTTGAAAGTTCAACAACCGGTGCAAAAACCTTAATATACACCTGGATTATCTTGAATCCTCAGTTATTTCGGAGTTTTTTTCTCAATCCCTACAAATTCAAGATAATGAGGTTTGACCGTAGAATGTTTTCTCGATCTCCGTCCAGAATTCAGAGACGATATAAGCTAAATGTTTTTGTTTAACGACAAATGGACCGCTGGGACTGGCTGAGGCATGCTTAAACTTCCACTTTCTGCAGGAACCAATCAAGCCTGTTTTGTCCTTTGAAATATTAATGATTCAGAAATAATTTTTTATCCATTAGCTGTTTAGCTATTAACTTAAGTGTCTTTCTGACAGTTATGGCCAGCTGTCATTTCATCTTTCTAAAACAGCAAAAACATGCTATCGTGCCATACAGGTTTTGTTATACATGCATGTTTTATTACTTAAATGGTTTTTAATCAATTTTTTTCACAGTAGCTGTGCAAATTGTTGAAATTGTGTCCCTGCCCTATTAATGGGACATGCATATATACACAGAGATAAAAGACAATTTTCATGCATTAAAAGTTAAAGTTTTGAGTGTCCTGCCCATGGAATCTACAGTCTCTACCCAAATTTCATTTTTATTCAATTTTTATATTTATTTTTTTCTAATTTTGCATTATGATTGTGCAAGCCACACATTACAGTCCCCTGTCTGTGGCAGATTTATATGTACTGATCTTGAGGTTTACACCTGACTTCTGTATTCTTTTATACACTAACGATTTAAAGCATAAATTGTCGTAAAGCGTGATCACTAATGTAAATATTTATCTCATCCCAAAATAATGGCATAAGGTGATAGGATGAAATGTGGAAAAATAATCAGATTAAAAAACTAAATTTAGAATCACAATGAATATATAGATGAATGACTGAAAGACTATAATGTAGACTGTAGTGTTCTAAAATAACCCTTACCAAAATATTGACCTTCTGGCAACATCTTCTGGCTTTATTGCCGCAATATTGCGGAACATTCTTTAGCAATACATTGCCGCAATATTGTAGCTATATCGTTTTTCGTATGTAAATTAGTTTTGCGGCAATATTGCCAGAAAGGGGTTCCGGTAATATGCTGCAAATCATAACCAAAATATTGATCTTCTAAACATGTATCACAGCATTATTGCCGCAATATCCAAGCAAACAAATAACATATGTAAATTAGATATAAATTGGTATTTAATAGAAATAATGATCTATCAATCCACAATTAACAAACTTTGCTGAGGAACATGTATAAAGCTAATAAGCTACAGAGTCGTAATAAATAGCTACTTAAGCTTATGCTATCTCTTTGAATATAAAAATTTCGTTGAAAAAAGATGTGTTTTGAAACACTGATGCCCCCAGTGGCAACATAATAATTTGAAAAACCATTTTAGAATATAGGTCACAGTCAAAGTCACAAGGTCATTGATCTTGGTGTCATTTGAAAGAACTTAATTAGTTGAATATGCAAAAATATGAAGTCTATCTTTGTAAAAATTTATGGTGGGGTTTTATAAAGGCTATTTTTAGCATATAGATCACAAAAAAGGTCACAAGGTCATTGATCTTGGTGTCATTTGAAAGAGCAAAAATAGTGGAGAATGGATACTTAATATGAGGCTGCCATCTTTCATGGTTCAAAAGTTATGTCGAAGGTTCTAAAAATCTATTTTAAGCATATGTCTCACAGCAAAGGTTACAAGGTTAAAGACCTTGGTGTCATTTTAAAGACCCAAATTAGTTGAGTATGCATATACTACGTATATAGTCTCTATTTCTCCTGGTTCTTAATTTATGGCAAATATTCAATAAAAACTATTTTTAGCATATAGGTCACAGTCAAGGTCACAAGGCCATTGACCTTGGTGTAATTTGAAAGAGCTCAATAAGTGGAGTATGCATACCAATTATGTAGTCTCTATCTTTCCTTGTTCAAAAGTTATGGCGAAGGTTAAAGTTTGCAGAAAAAAGGTATTTTTAGCATATGGGCCACAGTCAAGGTCACAAGGTCATTGACTTTGGTGTCATTTGAAAGAACTTGATTAGTGGAGTAGGCATACCAAATATGAAGTCTCTATCTTTTTATGGTTCAAAAGTTATGGTGAAGGTTCATGTATGTAGACAAACAAACAGACAGACAGACAGGACAAAACAATATACGGCCCGGATCTATCGATCCCGGCGCATGATAGATCCGGGCGCATAAAAATTGCATTGCTATGAAGTAAAATACG